TCCACTCACGCACTAAATGCAACAACAAAATGCAGTGCAAGGAATTCTTGTTGGCTAATATTTTGTTGACGTTTTATTTTGTATTCATAACTACTTAGTCGCGTCGCCAAGTTAACAGCCGCGACGCGTCATTGGCTTTTACGCTTTCATACATACATACATACATACATAGTCGCCTAAAATATGAATCACGCATAGTTTCAGTGGAAAAAGTAAAGCTTACATTTTAGTCATGACCGTGAGCAAATTAACATCTTCCGCTGTTCATTGGTCATTTCCATTTGGTAGTCAATTTTGTAGTAAGAATTATTGTTAATGATTTTAAAACCAAGATATGGCTAGATACTCGTATACATATTTGTAAAAATCGTTAAAATGAAGAAGAAAGTCGTTTTTATGTGTTATTTTGCATATGTTTGTGTGCAGTTGCTTACATACATACAAACACGTGTACAGTATATTCAAAAGCGGATTTCCTATTAACAGTGCATTGCTCAGCTGGTTGGCCTTGCCGCAGGTTCGTTGACTGATTTTATCGCTTTCTTAGGTCAAGTCAGATTGTCATGTTTAATGAGGTTGATTTGAATCAGTGTGCTGCTTTTCGGACCGCTTATGTGTGGATATGCACCTGAAGATGATCATATAACATATACATATACATAAATAACTATATATAAGCACTTGCATAGTTATGTTAGTGCTGAAGCGATGTACAGGTACACGTAATTATTTTGACTGCCGGAATAAAAAAAAAACGGTTTAACAGAGAAAGTTATCGAAGGTTATATACGTAAGAGATGAGAAGCTTTTAGAGGGGATCAGTTCTGGTGTAAGTACTCAAAGCTGTTTTGAAGCTTGTAAGCTTACCGTTGTTGGTAAGGTGGACTGCCTTGCTTCTTTCGGCGAACCGAACTCTGGGCGATTAACTCTTTCAAACACTTCAAGTACCCTGGACCGGATGCCTTTATTCCTAAGGCGATAGTAAAACCCTGACTAAGCTTGGAGTCAGCTTATCTCCTACATGCTGTACGACAGAACTGTCACAGCGAAACAGCGAGCAGGGACACCCCGCAGGGAGACGTCCTTTCCCCCTTTCTCTGGATAGTCGTGATCAACAGGAAAGGAGAGGATGCCGGATTATTGTCGACGTGGACGACGGAGGAAAGTTCTTGGGAACTCTGTATGATATTATGCTAGCTGCGGAACGCGTACTATTTACCAGGAGATATAAAGTACCTCGATTCCATTAATAGGGGGTGTTTCACTGGTTCTCTCTGATATGGTCAAGTTCTT